CATCCGAAACAGATGCCCAAGCCACCAAGCAAGTGTAACATCAGCTTTTTAAAAACCTCACATCAAAATTAGCCTTAAAAATCCTGTATCAGTCGGACTCTAGTGTGCACCCTTATATTTTTGAAGTTTCCTGGATTCTGGAACCTTCCGGTCTATTCTGAATCAATTAGTAGTTGCATAAAATATTAGAAAGAAAGTCACTTTCGGCTTTTCCTGGTTAGGGGTCGCCACAGCAAATCGTCACACTGACGACTCGCATGTTGACATTTGGCACGTGTTTTACGGCGGATGCCCTTCCTGACGCAACCCTGATTCGAACCCGGGCCGCAGCGGCGAGAGCGCTGCGCCTTAACCACTAGCCTACCAGGGACTTGCATAAAATATTAACAGCTTCAAAATATTTTTTCCTCAAAGCTTTCTTTCTTGCAAAGATTTTTAAAGAAGTATGTTTCATAACGTGATTTAATCTGCTTGACAGCACCTGATATGTCTGACTCACCAGTGCTGAGGTCATGAGATGTGAAGTGCGGTTGACAAATCATACTCCGGACCTCTGTGTGCAGGGATGTCAGTTTGGGGCTCGCATCCAGAATGATCTTTACAAGCTCAGTGTATGGGAGGACGCTAATGCTCAGATCAGTGAGGGAGCTGTGGGAGCATTCAGACAGTTGTTTCAGGGCTCTGACCAGGGATAACACATCTGAGTCCATGAAGGTCACTGCATAGACAAACATAATAGCAACTATTTGATTCAGAAATAGTCCTTAAAGGCAATAATCTGTCAACTGATTCAATAAACTGATTGTAGTATTACTGTTTACAGCTGCCATGTATAGTATTTAAATTCCACTGAATATTGCTGAAGTTCAATGTCAAAATTCAGAGTGCAACACTGCCTTGCCCAGTACCTTCATACATCTCCAGACTGTTTCAATGTGCAGATCATGATTAGATTTCAGCATAAAGAATATGATTCATCCAAGTATATATATATATATATATATATATATACACACACACACACACACACACACACACACACACACACACACAAAGATAAAAGAATGAATAGTCAAACTGTCGCAATGAAGACTGACAGTCAACTAACAAAATCTTTAGTTGGGTACAGACCTATGTCTGTCAATGTCACTGGTAGCATGGAAGCACAGATGCATGGTAGCAAACAAAAAACTCCTGAACCCACCTCCCAAAGTCTTACTGGCACATTAAGTAATATACTTACAATAGCTGTGAAGAGTTAGAGAGCGAAGGCAAAAAAATGTGGGCAGGGCAGAGATCAGCACTTGGAGGGAGTTGGATTTACACTGCCTAATTTCCAGACAATCAATCTGTCCCCATGGACAAGCCCCTGCTGAGGGACCACCACATGGAGTGAAGTTCTGACAGAGAATGTGCAGGTCCATGGTCAAGTTTTCTTTTCCAGATTCCTCCTCCACAGTCACAGAATCCAACTTTGAGCGTTTGCATGGAGAAACTTGATCATCCTGATCTTCCAAAGCCCTGTTCTCAAAACCTGGACTGGCCCTGTCTACACTGGCTGAAGCAGCAGGTGAAATACAACTCGTCATTTTGCTGTGCATGAGGCTCTTCAGCTTGGGATTTACATACTGAGATCCCCTTCCATGTAGGAGCCAAGCCAGCATGATGGGACAAGGCGTATTTACAACGAGTTCTGTAGCCATCCCGTGGTCTAGCAGTCGATGGAGAATATACAATACAGTGTGCATCACCCTCTTTGCCATATCAAGGGAATTTGACACACAGACACGCTTGATACCCATCTCTAAGAGGTTCAGAATAGGCCGCTGCTCAGCAGTTAAACTTTGAAGGGTCTTCTGCATGTTTGCCAGGAGTACAAAATATTTGATACATTTAGCAGCAGCCATCAGGAAGTATGGGGTGTTTAAATTTGCTTTGTTTCTATTGACAAAGCCATTTCTGAAGCCATAGAATATGAGTGTAAAAAGTAGTCTCATAACTTCGCCTTTGACCTCTTCTTCTGTCAGCAAGTTTACTTCCTGAAATGCAACATAGGACAGGTATCACATATGGGTTCTGGATGCTCCTATACATTATATTTTTCATTATTAAAAAAGACATTACGCCTACAGGGTTAGCTCTAGATAATTGCTGCAGGACTCCAACCCATCCAGAGTGAGTTGATATGCCTGAGACATAGCAAACAAAAAAAGACATTAATTAGAAAATGAATTAAGCCTTATGAATATATCCATGAATCTATGGTCCTGTCTCTATGGACAAGGCAAAAACACTAAACACCATCTTTGCATTTCAACAACTATGGTTCTTACCTCTCTGATTTAATCCCGGCTGGAGCTCGTCCAGCTGACATACAGTCAGATGGGGAAGAAGATCCTTGATGAGCGGCGTTGGAAGATCTAAGTTTTAACAGGTAGGTTTTAGTTTATTCCAACAGTAGACAACAAGCCCCTCACCAAATATGAGCACTATGAATAGATCTTATGATACCAGGAGGGTAACAAAAAGTTTCTTTCTAAAGTAAAGTGCACCATAACTGACAATAATCCACATGTAAACAATCCTGGACAAATATACAGTATATGAAGGCAAACCCAAAGCTCTAGGGTCACTGTATTTAGCTTAAGCCAAACTCGTATTTTGACATTTTAGGGGGAAACCTCCAGAATGAACAATATATTTTGGATATTCTTTGTGATGGTCCGTGCACATTTTCGTGTACAATCAACAGTTTGATTTTTTTTTTACACAATAATCATATAATAATTCGAAACTGCTACATTAGTTTTTATTTTGTACATAAGTTCAAGTACTGTTCAACTTAGTACAGTAATAGAATTACTGTAAAGTGACCCGAGACATTCAACAAAAAACAGAAACCTTTCCAAATGACTGAGCGGGTTAGGTGCAGGTTTGTCTCCAACTCAGTTACGTGCTAGTTAGCTTTATGAGTGTAGCAACTAACTCATGTTCGGAGTTCTAGCTAAATCATTTGTTTAATTAACGTCACAACAAAAGCTTAAGTATTAAATATCCCTCACTTACCAAGCACTGCTTGGACGCCCAGAGCACCTAAATGTTTCCTGACAGCTTGGAAACACATCTCCTTCAGACGTATAGCCTCAGAGTTTCTTTGGTCTGTTGAGCAGCCTGATTCACCCATTGTTTAACGACGGTGGCTTTCAGGTCATGTGTAACGGATATCATTTATTAACAGCGATCACTACGATGGTGAACCTGCACCGCTTGGACGACGACTTCTTCTTCCTCCTCCTTCTTCTTTTTCTTCTTCGTCTTCGTTATATTGGCGGTTTGCACAGAAGCTTAAAGCGTATTACCGCCACCTGCTGGACTGGAGTGGGGACCATCCACAGAGCCAAAGAAAGCATATTATTAATCTTAATTTTTCCCACTGAAGGCATCATTCAACCATATTGCTCATTATGACACTGCATAAGAACAGGACACTACTGTCTCAGTCTACAATGTACAGTGACCTGTAGGGTGTTTTATGCACGGTAAAATTTAAACCTGTGACCTATTCTCAAACAAGTTATTACAATTCAATTTAAGTGAAAACAGGGTCCCAACTTTATAGACTACATACTACAATGCTTTTTTGTGACTGTATATGCTTCTTTAGGTAGGGCCCAAGAAGTTACGTAACCCAGGGGCCTCTGTTGTCCTTAATCTGGTCTTGGCTACACCCTACAATGTATCCAACCCATGGTAAAATACAGCAAATAAAAACCACACACAAAAGCTTTTTGCACATTTCTTGTAATTATGAGATAGTAAGTCATAATTATGGTACAAGATCCAGTTTGTTTTAATTTGGTGAATGCAATGTGTTTCCACACTAAGAAGCAGTCAAGAGGTAAATCAGCTCTGACTGTAGCACTGACAACAGTTCCCTTCTGCCTCCACGCAATGTGCGTGTACTGCACCACCAAGCGAAGTACTCTTGAAGATGACTTTGTCACAACAGGCAAATCCACGAGTTAACATGTATATATTTATTATATACACACACACACACACACACACACACACACACACACACACACACACACACACACACACACGTTATGTTTAAGTCCGTTGTCCTCCTCCAACTATATGACACCCCTCTGGTCCTCATGAGAACGCTGGTGGAAGACGAAGGAGACAGCAGCGTCCCATGAGGCTTTCAACACTTGGTCCCTCAGGCCCTTTTTGTCAAAGCAGTGGTTCCACTGGGAAAGGTCACTGGTACAGTCAGAGTCCTCTGCAGGAGGTCGAACCTCTCTGCCATTCACACAGCGGCGACAGCGAAATCTATCAATGCCACAAGACAAAGGAAGAGGCTGAATCAATACATTTCCTACATTATAATCATACATTACTCTGTGTATGATCAAATGAAACCCACCAGCTGTGTAAACAAAGCATGCACATAAAAATCATGCACAAACTGATATTCATAAACTGATGTTTGGTGAGAACATATGTGCACATTACACCTAACGCAGGCTTTACCTTATCACCTGTGCTGAGCACTAGAAGAACAAGTATACAAGTTATACCATGTTGGTTGCGGAGCATCAAATAATTTATTCAAATATAAATGATTGTTTAGAACCAAAACAAATCTAGCAACTTATGGATCTGATTCTAATTAATAGCACAGCTGCAAACCAGATACAGTGTACAGTGGGGAATGGTTCAGGCTGCATTATGTTGGTTAGATGGTAAAAAGTGTTTCTAAAGCAAAACAATCCATTACTAATATTTAGAAAATGGATGGATGGATGGATATGACCGTCATAGATGTTTAGACAGGATAATGTTAAAGCCTACAGTATGTACAGTAATGCAAATTTCTAGTCAGAATAATTTGATTCAATTTAAAAAAAAGGGCAGTATATTTTGACTCTTAATCTAGTTTACTGTGTCAAACAACTGAGCATTTAAGATTACTCACTGCATTCAAACGGCTTAAATGGCAAGTGGAAAAATGGAGGTGACCCCAAAAGTACATACACTGCTGTTCCAAAGAAATGGCAATAAAAACAATTAAACAGAAAAAAGTCTGATGCCTGGAGACCTGCTGTAAGATAGAGTTTATATGACATTGTGCATCAGTGTTGTATGTCTGATTTTACAATACATCCAGTAAATGTGTATCACCATAAATGACATTTTGATAGTTTAGATGTCATTTGTGCATACAATATGAGGATCTTGTGTGAACTGTGGAAAAAAATTCTTTCAGGACTTTGAGGTGCCTGGATCAATTTTGAAAAACCTAAGTGGATAACTGGGGTCGTCAGAGCTGAATCAGCAGAGTGAGCAGCATAAACAGCTTGTGTGAGTAATTTGTTTTTTTTACTTGTCATGCGTGTCACTCCTGGTCTCCACATTGAGAGTGAAGAGTTCTCGCAGTTCACCCAGAGAGAAGTGACGCTCCACATCCTGCTCCTCATCCACCACACAGCTACTCAGGGCTTTCTTATGAGCCTGCCTCTGCAGAATCTTCTCCTCGATCGTCCCCGTCTGTCAGCACACAAACACACAAAAGATCTGGGGAAACTCCACAGAACAGCTACCTGCAGCCTTCAACCACATCCTGCTGCTCTATTTAACATAAGGTCCTGGGTAAAAAGTCATTTATCTATATGAAAATATTGCTGCATAGAACTTCAAACTTGGTGTTCTATCTGCATATTGTGAGCAGTGTTGAACTGACGGAGAGCAGTCTGTAGATGTAGCAGGTCTTCTTCTGGCCATCTCTCCACACCCGTGCCATTGCCTGCTCATCGTTGGCTGGATTCCAGTCAGGGTCAAACATTACCAAACGATTAGCACCGATTAGATTGAGGCCACATCCACCAGCCTTGCTGCTCAGCATGAAGATGAACTCTGGGTTCTGAGGAACAGGTGGATTCAGATGTTGTTCAGCTGATTTTCAAAAGCTCACAGTGTTGTTTAAAAACAGTGTCCAACTCACAGATGGACTGTTGAATCTTTCCACAATCTTAGCCCTTTTCTTAATGGACATGGTGCCATCCAGTCGAACATAGAGGTATCTGTGAAAGACCAAAGGGGACTTGTTATTCACCTTAACTGACAAATCATAATACAGTCAAATAAATGGTGGTTCCCCAGAAAGCACCTTCTAGATCTGCATAGCTTTTCAAACAAGTCCAGTGTTTGAGTGTAGTTGGAGACGAGTACCACCTTGTCACTAGATGTAGTCCTTGTCATTGCCAGGATGTAATCCAGGACCAACATTTTTCCTGGAACAAAGGCAACAGTTTCTTACTGACAAATATGAGGAAGAGGCATTTTATTAGATTACATTAAACACATGCACTACAATAATGAAACTAGCAATAACTGATTTTGTCCACTTTGAGGCAGGGGAACCTGCCTATCACCTTATAAGTTGTTACGGCAAACTTACAAAAGGCTGCTCAATAAAACACTCGGGATGCAAAGCAACGTTAACATTTGTGTTTGTGTCCACCCGCCTGTTGAGGAAAACACCAGTTTAGCTCCTAAAAGCTCCACTTGTGCTCATCAGTTAGTTTTTAACCGCTGACTGGTGCTGGGCAGGCAGCATACAGTGTGTTTGTCACAAGATGTTCACTGAAAACAGCTGCCACCTGCTGGAGACAAGACTGAGAAAAGTGCTGAACCAAAACCTTTTAATTTTGTAGGGGATTTCTCCCTGTTTTTTTTCTTTTTATCTATGAGCTATAGCAGAACAAAAACAGCCAATTTAATTTCAAATGGACTTAGCGTACAGAGCTGGAGTCAGGACATATTTAGCCTAACTGAGCATAAAGACTGGAGACAAGTCAGGCTTTGCTGTAGAAAGTGAATGTGCAGGGGCCATTATGCAGCATACGTTAGCATCATTTGAGCTATACTGAGCTATGGCGTACATATTCTTACCTGAGAGCTGAGGCTCCACAGTTTTAGTGCTGTATCCGGATGGGAACAGATCCAGAGTTCCCTTAAAGCCCTCCTCACCTTCCACACACTTCTCATAGATGAGCGCTGGGTCTGAGACACAGAGCTTAGTATTGTTTACCAAGCAGCTCATGAGCCTAAATAAGTGTGTGCATACTATACTGCTAATACCATTGAAGACAAGTAGTTAAACATTCTCAACTTCAGTTTTCCTGTCCTAAAATTTGCATCTGAGCCTAAAAATACTTTGCTTTTAAAAGTGAGAGGATATTCTGTTTATCGCCACACTGTACACAAAGTTTTCACAGAATGTGTATATTTGGTTTCAGCTCTTACGATTGCACAGTTTCTTGAGTGATGTAATGGAAGACAGAGAGGAGACACTTATTTTGCTCTCTTGTAATTTCTCAATGGGTTTGGCTTGCCTCAGGAAGCACTTATAGAGCTCGGTCTGCAAAGGAGTCAGCCTGCAGGGAAACAGCCACATTCATTACTCATCTACACGATGCAAAGCATTATAGGTTTAATATATTTGAGACATTTTGCTTGATTTGGTAAATCGAAAAAAGCTGTATTGTTGAAAACACAACTGATAAAAGCATGATTTGCTGTTGTTACTGAAACTCATGTACAGTATAAGGCAGACATGGATAAA